TCTATCTATCTATCTATCTATCTATCTATCTATCTATCTATCTATCTATCTATCTATCTCTATCTATCTATCTATCTATCTATCTATCTTTTTTCTTATTATACAATTTTATTTTCTACATATAATTGTAAAACCTCTAGTGAGCACATCATCTTTTGGGTACCCCCCAGTTGTGTTGTTATAAAAATTGGTGGCATACACTTATTTATTAGTTCAACAAGGGTTTAAGTAAATCCTTACCAGAAACCTGTTCTTGTGCTAAACAATGGACAGATGTCTATAAACAGAAAATGTATGCTCCTTGTTTATCAACAGAAGTTTAAAACAGAAAGTAAAAACTACATGAATATACTAAATATATGAACAAATAGACATTATGATAAATGTCATAAAGAAAATAGGCATAATTTTATGATACAGACGCAGTATAGTATTTGCATAGTATAGTATGTTGAACCAAAGCGAGAGTATGGAATCTGACCACCTGCATTTAAAATTCCAAAAGTTCTCACAACTTAGCTTGAATTTAATTTTTTTTGATACAATAGCATTCTGCTTTATTGAAGATGAGAAAATAATGTATTCAAAAAAAGATGCATAGTTTCATTTTTAGTATAATTTGTGTGCAGCAATTGGGACATCTCGCATAAAGAGTTCAGAATCTTCTAATCTGAATTTATGCTTTTACTTTTGCTGCTGGAATTATATGTAATAAGTAAGCTGCCTCAATACTTCATATACAATTAAATACACAGAAAATACATTCAATAGTGCACATTAATTATAAAACAATGTAAATATATGGTACATAAGAAATTAAGTGTACATTACAATATCTTCTATATTCTAAATCTCTAATATTTGAAAGCTCATACCATTCTATTCTTGTTGAACTCTATCATTCACTTTTCCCATACCAGTGTATTTTCTAATAGGTCATTTTTTTTTAAATTTTTATTAATTACACTTTATTCATTTTGTATCCCCCCATAAGCCCCTCCCTCCTCCCCTCCCGATCCCACCCTCTCTCCCCTTTCTGCATGCTATCTATCTATCTTAATGAATTTGGCACTCAGAAATTTACCAGAGAGTTATTTGTGGAATGCCTCTCATCTGAGGTTCTGGCAGAAAGACAAGAGTGCGCGGACGACCTCCTTCAGAGGTACAAGGGGTCCATTTGATCCTTCTTGGCAATGTTGACTTGACTCATGTGGCTTACGTGATGTTTGCTAGATTTCTCTGCTGAAACTTAACTCTTCCCTTTGAGACAATACAGAACATTGGGGGGGATACTTTTCGCTTGTTTTGTTCTAGAACGTGGTCTCACTCTAGCTTAGGCTGATGTCTGCCCGCCTCAGCCTCCTAAATGCCACATCACAGGCACTGCACCTGACCTGAAGGATTTTGGGACCTGCTACATTCTCATTCTTTTGTGTGGTGGTTTTACATGAACAAATAATTCTTACCTAAAATGGTGATTTCTGCACTAGTTGTATTTTATAATTCCTCTGCCCGTCTTACGTTCTATCATTTTCAAGCGGCTTGTCATGCACAACAGATAACTGGAACACATATGAGCATTTTTTTGTTAGCATCCCTGCCACCTGTATGTCTCTGTTACCTTGGGTGGGTGGGACACTTAGTAACATTCTTTTTCCTTGCTTCCTTGGAACCTGCCAATCTATCTTTACCAGCATCATACCATGCACACCACACCTTCCCACTGGCTTTCTGGCTCCCAGCTTATAGGTGTCTCCCTTGTTTTGTCAGCCACTGTGGTACTCTGCATATTTTACCCCAGTCTCATACCTGGGCAAACCCTCTTTTCTTGCTCCTTACAGTTGAGATAAAATTTGTGCTCCCTCCTTGATCCCTAAGGACACATTTCTTTCTGTGGTACTGGAGGATAATGGTGGAAACGTCTTGAAAGTTACTTATGTTGCTAATAAAAAATTCACATAGGTGCAGTAAGAGGCTTAGCAGGTGAAGGAGCTTTTGACCAATACTGATGATCTGAGTTTGATTCCTCGGACACACTTGGTAGAAGGAGAAAACTGATTCTCAAAAATTGTCCTCTGAATTCGACACAAACAAAAAATAGATTTTAAGAAAACAGCTTAAAATTTAGATAGAACTATTTTATCGTCCTTTGACTTTCCTTGTGTGCGCATTAGATAAGTCACAGTGAAGTCTACCCGTAGGGATGGGCAGTCAGAGGCACTCTCTGAACTTATGATAAGAAACTGTTTATCAACACAGAAGACCAGAATGTTAGAACAAATGCCATCCTTTGAAATAGACTTGCTGTGAGAAAGAGAAGAAAACAGGGAGGATTTATGGTTATTGGATATCATCAGGCAATGAAGAACACCACAGGAAAAAAGTTTTCATAAAGATTAAAAAGTAGCTAAGTAGTAGTGGCACATGCCTTTAATCCCAGAACAGGTAAAAGAAACAGGCAGATCTCTGTGAGCTAGAGACTGAGTTCCAGGAGGACAACCAGGGCTACACAGAGAAACCCTGTGTAGCCTCTCAAGCCTCCCCCTGCCCTCCTAAAAAAGAAAAAAAAAACCCAAAACCTGTTGATTTCATTGGAATAATGTAACACTATAATATAAAAGAATATATATATAAAGATAAGAGAAAAGGAATTCATGCATATGAAAATGTGTTATTAACAGTAAAATCATTGCTATTACACATATGAATACCAGACTATATTTTTAAAATGTGCTAAGTAGAA